CATGCGCCACTACTGATCTATCTATCTATCTATCTATCTATCTATCTATCTATCTATCTATCATCTATCTATCTATCTATCTATCTATCTATCTATCTATCTATCTATCTATCTATTTTTAAGACAAGCTGAACTCAACTTGACGTGTAGCTAAGGATGACCTTAAACTTCTGGTCCTCCGGCCTGAGTGCTGAGGGCTAAGACTACAAGCTGGCACCACACCTGGTTTTCAGCAATACTGGACTTGGAACCTGGGCTCTGTGCATGCTAGGCGAGCATTCTAACCGAGCCATATCTTTGCCTTCACCAAAGACTGCTTTTTAGCTGCCTAATCCCATCAAACGGTGATACCATATTTTAGCATTCTTTGGTTATTTTCTTCCTGAAATTCTAGGAGTATCAATAAATTCACCATTTATCTTTAAATTTATGTACATATTTTACCATTTCCTAAGGCTAGATCTTAAAACTGCCTTAGACAGAGTGTGATTTGTTCCTTAAAAATGCTCTGTGCACTCTATAAAGCACACCTAAACGCGATGCCACAACGAACTGTGCCCAGGACTCTTCCTTTCTAACCCGAATTGAGAAGTGACTCCAGGAAGAGGGTCAAGGGGAGGAGCTGGCTCCTAAGTCCACCACTGCTCTGTTAATAGGGACAAGTTTACATGACGACCACTGGGAAACGTGGGGACTGGAGACGTATATACAAGCCGAGGACACCAGTGACAGCTCACCCTTACCAGGAGTGGCACCGATCAACAAGCCAAACTACTTTCCTATTTTCCATTCTTCCTTTAAAACACTTTATTAGCATGGGTCTGTGTGCAGGGATGGGGGCCACAGCGTGCATGAGGAGGTCAGAGGACTTAGGAGCCAGGGTCTTCTTTCACCACGGCAATGTCCTGAGGATTGAACTCAGGTCATCAGGCTTATGGGGCAAATGTTTTCTACCTGCTATTAGGTCATCTTGCTGCACACAAACCTATTCTTGAACATACTATCTCATTTTATCTTCACAAGAACCTTAAAAGGTTCCTCAGAGACAGTAAGTCACTAGCTGGCACCAGGTCATACAAGAGTATATACCCAAGCCCGACTCTACGTTCTTTTCTAAATTGCTTTAACATCCCTGAAGGGTCAATATTGTTGACTTGGTATCCATGTTCCTTAGATGAAGACTAGAACTGCTCAACAGTTAAGGGCTCTTATCAAGCCCAACAACCTCAGGACCCTGCAACACACACGATAAAGAGAACCGGATGTGAGGGCGATCTGGCTGTGACATCTGTCACCCCCACTGATCACCAGGGTTGATAAAGAGAACCAACTTTCCCCAAGTTGTGCTCTGGCCACATTCGTGCTATGGAACACACAGCACATACTGAACAGGAGTTTTCATATCCTGTATGCTTTGGGTTTGTCTGAGATAGGATGTTATTATATAGCCCAGGATGACCTAAAATTTGCTCTGTAGTCCAAGGGGACCCTGAAGCTGTGATCCTTCTGCTTTGGTCTCTGGGGTGCAGGGATTATAGGCGTGCACTCCCCTCACTCGGCTAGGAGCACGTGAGTGCTTTGTTCCTTTTGTGGCACTAGTGACTGAGCCCAGGGCCCCATGCCCGCTGGGCAAGCATATTGCCAATGAACTTTATCTCTGGCGTTTTCTAGCTCTAATTCTGAAATAGGGTCTCACTAAATTTCCCTAACTGGCTTTGAATTCACTTGAACTCAGGGAGCCCAAGCAGGCCCTGAACTTGTGATCCTCCTGTCTCAGCCTCCGAGTTCTGAGAGGGCAGGCATGCACCACTGAGCCCATCTTTTAGACTATCATTCTTCAAAGCTACCAGATGGGCGGGTTTGCTACATGTGGAAGGCCCTAGGTTCTGTCCCCAGTATGTTCCCCCACTAAGCCACCTACAAAAAACAAACCCTCAACTTATCAGCTGAGAATGTAGGTCAGTGGCGGAGCACTTATCTAGCAAAAGCAAAGCCCTGGATTGGATTAACAGAACCACAAAGAACAACCCCACCCCGAAATCCGGTTTAGAAAATGGAGGTGAGTAACATGGCATCTGGGAGCTGCTGCAGAGACAGCACAAAGGCCGGCTGGAGAACACCACAGTGACAGGCACTCAGTGCACGCTGCTGGTGGGAACACCACAGTGACAGGCACTCAGTGCACGCCGCTGGTGGGAATTCTTTGAATATTGGTAAGGATATTAAATCTACTACTACGAAGTGACAGACTGACACTTAAGAAGGACGCCACTATCTTCAGCTTTGGTGATCTTAAACACAGTACACTGCGCATGTGTGCTCCACTGTCCACACATCACGGCCCACAAGGAGTATGTGCTGTGTACATGTCATGCCGTGGTCCATGGAGGACGTGTGTACATCACCACCTGCACACCATGGTGCACAAGGGAAGTGTGCTTTTCTATCAATTGCTTCAGAAACCCTTAGCATTGTGCCTCCAGACATCACACGCACCTCAGCTGGATCTCATTCTTACTGAACCTATTTCATATCTCACCGAACATCATACCTATGTTGAAACCATTAGCCAGGTCACCAGGACTCAGCTTTCAGAATAAACACACTCTAATCTGGTTTTATTTAAAAATAAAATAGTTCACCACAAAAGCTGAGGCTACAGAATGAGATTAGTAGTGGAGACTACATTCCATTTTCTCTTCAACTTGCTCAGGATCAACACACACAGTTAAATACCAACCACACAGCCATTTAAATATGGGGGCATTTCGTCACCAGGGAGAGCACCTGAACAAATGCCAACCTGTTTGAAGACATGTTTCTCCTGTGTCTCATGTTTAGTTTAGTCCATCATCATTGGATAAAGACTTCACATCAAACACACCTACTATAAGGACCTAGTAAACATTTCAGGGTAGACTGGCTCAAGAATGTCTAAAAACCTACTACATGCAAGGTACTTGTGACTCATAAATTCAACAGTCTTGGCAACCTTACAGTGTTTCACATACAAAGAAATTAAGGCTCAAAAGGATGATGTTGCACCAAGCCCCTTGGAAAAGAGCAGAGCTGGGCTGGAGAGATGACTCAGCAGTTAAGAGCATTGCCTGCTCTTCCAAAGATCCTGAGTTCAATTCCCAGCAACCACATGGTGGCTCACAACCATCTGTAATAAGATCTCATGCCCTCTTCTGACCTGCAGGCATACACACAGACAAAATATTATATACATAATAAATAAATATTAAAAAAAGAGAGGGTTTATTAAAAAAAAAAAAAAAAAAAAAAGGAAAAGAGCAGAGCTGAAACTGGACCCAGGTCTGTCCCAAACGCCTCTGGACCAGACTTCCTGAGCTGTGTCAGGAAGAAACTGTTCTGCTTGAGAAGGTAGAGGCAGAACTACAGAAGGTGCGAGTCACTCGGGTAGAGAGCGCTCAGCCCGTGGAGACAAAGCCACAGCCAGGTGGGAGGCAGAGGCAAGCAGATCTCTTGTCTGTTCAAGGTCATCCTGGTCTATAGAGTGAGTTCCAGGCCACCCAGGACTACAGAAAAACCTATCTAGAAAAACCAAATGGGGGTGGGGGTATGGCAGGGAAAAAAAGACAAAGACACAAAAGAACAGCCTAATCCCATCATCTAGCTCCTGAAAGGTAAAGCAAAATTAGGAACTCTTCTCAGCCAATCTGCAAGGGCTGGGCTCATGAAGTATCCAAGTCCAGTTGTTACAAATGAGTTTGAGAACAATAAGCATGGGGTAATGGCTCCAAGGCTTGGAGTGCACCTGAGGCTGGCTTGAGGAAATTCACCTTGTGGTCGCAGGTGGTGTTAATGTTGGGGCTTCAGTGTTCGTATGGGAGGCCTTAACAGAGCCAAGGCTTAGTGTGTGTGAGGCCCACACCAGAATCTGAAAACACTAAAACCCAGCCAAAAAGGAGGCACCTGTGCAGAGGTCACTGCGCACTTAAGTCAGCCAGCAATAAAAAGCTGTGACTGCTCCTGGGAGTTCACAGATGAAGGCAAACCAGGGAGAAGTTGCACCAAAGCTGAGGTCAGGAAGAGACAAGGCAGGAAAACGATGACTAGGCAAGTGGGAAGTGTCTTCGGCCTTCCCTCCGTTCTACAGGGTCCTAGAGAGCCCTGAGAAGAGGTTAAGACATTCATTCACAAGTTCTCTTTTTTAAGACTAGGTCTTATTGTGTAGTCCCAGCTGGCCCAGAACTCGCTCTGCACATCAACTGGCTTGGAACTCAAGATCTGTCTGCCTCTAGCTTCAGAGTACTGGGATCAAAGGAGTATGTCACTGTCACCACACTGCTTGGCCTGCCAGAGCCCTGTCACAGAGACACTCTACATTTCATGTGCACTACAACCAAGTTAAAATAAATGAGCAATAGTGAAGACTGCCCCGGCCTTCCACAGTATCAACAGCTAATGCAATGAAAGGTCACAATACCTTCCAGAGTGGGGATTATTTTGACATCCCAAATAAAAATAGAAACTGGTAAGCGGAACCATGTCCTCTCAAAAATGAAAACCTCACCTGTTTTATAAATAAACACACAAATTTTAATTCAACAACCTAACACAATTTTCCACACTAGATGCTGATTTACGCAAAACCCTAAGTCACTGAACAAGGAAATAACAAGTCAGCCAGAAAATGAAGATAGTGACTTCCAGTGTCTTTTGCCTTCCTGTGTCTCACAACTTTGAGAGCAACCGAAAACCCCTAAGGGTGGATTTATCACCTCCACTGAGGCAGCCTTGGGATCAAACAGAGACTAATTAAGGATTAACTGCCTGGCGGTGGTGGCACCTGCCTTTAATCCCAGCACTTGGGAGGCAGAGGCAGGCAGCCTGGTCTACAAGAGCTAGTTCCAGGACAGGCTCCAAAACCACAGAGAAACCCTGCCTCGAAAAAAAAAAAAAAAGAATTAAAGATTAACTAATGAATTCTCACAACAAACGTGTATCCCTTTTTAATATTTTTATTGGGGGGTGTTCAGAGATTACAAATTGATTTCTGCTTGTCCTTTACTTAAGATCTACAAATTCTGCTTGTGCAGAAGTCCAACACCTATCTCCTCCCACCAAAAGGGAACAGTCTTCTTCAAAGAGGGAGGGCAGGGCACGGGCAGTTTCCATAGAAGGCAAGAGTAGGTAACTTCCACCAGACAGAGGCAGAGGGCATAAGGACTACCGATGGTCCTGCTTACTCAAAAATGAAAACCCAAATAATGGCAAACGCTGAAAGCTGGGGAGTTTCCTGAGTTATCACCACTTCCTGTTTGGCATTCTAGGCAAAACCCTACAGCATACACACAATCAGTACAGGACAACTGCAGACCGAATACAGCAGCCGGCAGCATGGGAGAAGCCAAGGATGGTGCTGCCATGGCAGTCCTCAAAGCTCCTTGGCTCCTGCACAGCAGCTTTTGTGTCCTGGAGTGCCTTCATGATTAGGCTATGTGGAAGGCTGCTGCTAAGCGCTGACAATGAGAAGCCATTTGGGTCACTGTGGGTGACTCCAGAGTAGACACTGCAGAGCAGAGCCAGGGTTCCCAAGAAAACTGTGGCTAAAATGCAAGAACCTACAATGCTCGAGCGGGCTCTAGGAGGTGGAATCCAAGTCTTGCAAGCTGTCCTGAACATCAGCGCTGTCTTTGCTGTCACTGCCACTGTCATCTCCAGCCAGGTTCTGCTGACACGCCTCTTCAGAACCAGGAAGTGTGCTGCCCTGATTCTCCTTGGAATCCAGAACCACGTATCTGCCCTTCTTCAGCACCAGCTGCCGTCTCAGCTCCTCCGCCATCTGGGAGAGATCTCGTTTCATGGCATAGGCATCTTCTCCATCTGCATAGTACTTGGGCTCCACCTCACTAACCTGGAAGTTCAGGGTGTTGGAATAAAGGTGCAGGGCAGCCCTGTTGCTCTTCCTCACATGCAGGGATACATACTTGGCGTTGAAGTTCTCGATCATGGCCCGTGAGGCCTGGTCCATCAGCTTCTGGGCCAGGCCGAGGCGCCGGTGGGAACGTTTCACAGCCAGTGAGGTGATGTGTCCATGAGGGACATCATCGGGGTCCTCCTCCATCTTGGCCAGGACATAGCCCACGATCTTGCCATCCTCATCCTCAGCAATGTAGGAGAGCTGGGGCCAAGAGAGGCCATGGTAGAAGTAGTACTTCATCTGGTAGTTCTCGGGCAGGCACAGCAGGTTGCAGTGCTGCATGTTCATCAGATCATCGGGCCGAGCACGGCGGATGTTCATATTGGCAGCAGATAGGCCTGTCAGGCTCGAGAACCACAGAGGATGCCAGGAGCACAAGCGACACCAACACCGTTTGCCTCGAGGAATTGACACAAAGCGTATTTCAACACTCAAGTAACACAGCACTGTCATTATCAATGTACCTTTTAAGACTATGGATTCAACAGAGTCCTGGGTAACTACATAATCTAATTTTGTATGCATGCTCGCCGAGGCTCTCATTCAGGGTCTTGTCAAGGACTGAAATTCCTTTAGTGAGGACAGGGTCTCTGCCTATGAGGCTATATATACTCATGTGACAATTAGGTGAAAATCCTAGCACAGCACCAGACCTCCTGAGCTCCCTGCTAACTCCTGCACCTTCTTGGATTCTGCCCACAACAGCAGTGTGTGCAAAGTACCTCAAAACAGGGGCTGCTCGGCCTCTGGCCCTTGCTCTCACGTGGGCTGGGACAGACTCAGCAACACTGCTTCTCCTACTACCGTCACTCAGTTATCAGTCTGCAGGTCACTAAAATTTTCACCCATGTTTTATAAAAAACTGAGATTAAAATAGATGCCCATTACTTTTTTCCTCCAAGAAAAAATTTGAAAATCTAAAAATAAAAGGGAAAAATATTGCTTTGCATATGCCCAGTTATGTGTATTTATCACAAATTATGGAGCTTTAAAAAAATTCCATAAACTCAGGGCATCATTTGTATGTGCCTAACAAGCATGTATCTGAGCCAGGGAAATCCTTCACAAGCCCCAAAGTAACACCACAGTGCACACTCTGCTGGTCTGAGACTTCTCATGAAGCCAAGTACCGACTTCCAAAGATCAGCTAACTTAAATCATCACTGTCATGCAAAAGACAAGCTCTCAATGGTATTCTTTAAAAGCTCTATAAATATTTTTAATATTTATTTATTCATTTATTTTGTATACAATATTCTGTTTGTGTGTATGTCTGCAGGCCAGAAGAGGGCACCAAACCCCATTACAGATGGTTGTGAGCCACCATGTGATTGCTGGGAATTGAACTCAGGACCTTTGGAAGAGCAGGCAATGATCTTAACTTCTGAGCCATCTCTCCAGCCCCAAGCTCTATAAATATTATTGGTCTTGTACAGCTCTCTAAAGTTGTATCATGTATGCATTAGTATTCACGATGTGTGTATGTGGTACAGACATGCCATGGCACATGTGTGGAGTCAGTCGGTGCTTTCCTTCACTGATGTGGGTTCCTGTGTGGCAATGCCACCATCTGCTGCTCACCAGCCACAATATGTGTCTCTTTCCGAATATAGCACACGTCAATATATCCCTAAAGATATTTTAAATGCCATTTGTATGGACTTTTTAACACACAAACTGTCTCACTATTTTTATGTCACAGTATGAAGGAATAATGATGCCCAGAGCACTTTTGTGGCAAAGCATATTCCTACCCCACGGGAAGAGATCACAGGTACAGGAAACAGTCACATGTACCAGCTTTACAGAGCTCACTCAGCAAGCTCCAGAGCTTAAAGGATATCTGCTCCCTACCACCTTTCTTCCTAACTTTCTTCTTTAAGTTGAAACTAGCCCAGCACGAGGTGGAGGTGGGCCATGCAAGAGAAGCACACTGGAGACACGGGACACTCAAGTCCAGCCTGACCATGGACTTTTACTCACTTTAAAACAGCTGGGATATCTTCACACAAGATGAGAAAGATCTCCCACTATCTTCCATTTCTGCGGAGGGAGATTTTTAAATAGTTATATTGTTCTTTATACTAAAATCTTTAATTTCAAAAATTTATGTTCCCCCAGGTTCCAGAAATATGAATTTCTATTTTGCTACTATACTATGAAAGTAAAGCATTTAATAGTCTTTTTAATTTATTTTAAATTACACTTTATTTTGTGCAGTGTTCTGCCTGCATGTATGTCTGCAGGCCAGAAGAGGGCACCAGATCTCATTGCACATGTGGTTGTTGGGAATCGAACTCAGGACCTTTGGAAAAACAGCCAGTACCCTTAACCTCTGAGTCATCTCTCCAGCTCCCTTTAAGTTACATTTTTTAGTAACCATACTAAATCACAGTATTAAAGGTTTATTAAGGATATGGAAGAGATTGCTTGGTGGTTAAAGAGCTTGCAGGGCCCAAGTTCAGATCACCCCAGAAACTCACACAAATACCAAGAAGGCACGGCGGCCTCTCTGTAATTCTAGTCAGATGAAGATAGGGGATCCCTAGGGCAAGCTGGCTAGCAAGACTAGCCTTATTGGCAAGCTCTAGTTTTCAGGAAAGACCCTGCCTCGATGGACAATGAGGTAGAAGGACTGAGGATCATTGTTAACAAGGCCTTGGGCTACTATCTGCAGGCCTGTGCGTGAGCATTGAGCATGTGTCTGCACAGGCACACACACAAAATGGAAAAGGAAGCTGAGGGACATAGCCCGCCTGCCTAGCATGCCAGCACCATAAAGTTTTACAAAAGGGAAAAGTGGGGAAGTTATTAAGAATGTAATAGACCCGGCAGTGGTTGCACACGCCTTTAATCCCAGCAGAAGCCGCAGAGACTGGTGGATCTCTATGAGTCTGAGGCCAGTTCTGGTCTACAGAGAGTTCCACAACAGCTAGAAACCTTGTCTTGAAAAACAAAACGACTTTGGACAAATGAAAAAGTAATTTAAAAGACTAAAAATAGGGGCTGGAGAGATGGCTCAGTGGTTAAGAGCATTGCTTGCTCTTCCAAAGGTCCTGAGTTCAATTCCCGGCAACCACATGGTGGCTCACAACCATCTGTAATGAGGTCTGGTGCCCTCTTCTGGCCTGCAGACATACACAGACAGAATATTGTATACATAATAAATAAGTAAATATTAAAAAAAATACTAAAAATAGTATTTTAAAATGAGACTAACAAGCCCATTACAAAATAGAACACGAGTCTAGTAGAACTGACAGTTGCCACCTGCACCTGACACAGCACAGTGAGAAAAGAAAAGAACACGTCTGGCCAAAGTTCTTAGCTGGGGAAAGCCAAGCATGATACCTAGGCACCCTGACAGGAAACCCCACCCGCGGTTGCTCATGCCACCTTCAGGTTAGGACAGTTAAAGAGCAGCTTCCCCAACTAACAGACTCAACAGAGTAAACCTGCTTTTAGTGCTGCTTCAGCATCTGTTGATGTAAGGGATCCAACCACCTCATTCTGACCTCGGACCTGACTGGCAAGACAGCCAGCACGGGAGAGAACTGCTACCGGCTCACTCCAGCCACACCCTCAGGTTCCTCGCGCCCAAGAGGAGCAGGGCAGGGATGGCTGACAAGTACTGGCCCTGAGTCCAATTTCCACTGAGAGGTTCCTGAATTCCCTGGGACCCTCTTTAACAAGGCTTCCTGGGCCTCAGCCCAGACCAACAGAGTTCCTGAGACTCTTCAGAAGTACTCCCAAAGAAACCCATGACAACTGAATGAGCCACTGTCCTCGACTATTCTTTCCTAAGTCCGAAAGCAGAAACCAACCAATGGAAGGCGAAATAACATTGCCTTTCTTACACACACACACACACACACTCTCCTGTCTGACTCCAAAGAGACCCTGGCTTCACTTGCAGCACAAAGAAATGAAGTAACGCTAGGGAAAAGCCATTTGGGAGGAGGTAGGGATTACTTGAAGCCAGCTCATGGTAGCATCTGAGAGGGAACCTCCATCACTTCTATTAGCATTTACTCTTCTTGAAAACAAACTCTCGGGCTAGGCATGGTGGCCTTCAATCCTAGCACTGGGAGGTGGAGGAAGAAGCAGGTAGACAAGTTCCAGAGCTACTTAGGGAGGCCCTGACTCACGAAAACAAGTAACTATGAAAGAAAACAAAAGAAGATTTAAATTACTTATGGAACAGTATCATTATACATTACTTTACCATCTTTGCCATTTGCCCTGTTGTTATGTTACAAAAGCCTAAGTAAGTCATCCTAAAATTGTCTAAAGGAATTCACAGAAAGAGAGTAAACCTAACCAAAGTGCTTTGGGGGGTCATGCCTCCAAGTCCCAGGGCTTGTGTTGAGGCACAGAGAATGAATGTTCAAGATCAGTCTGGGCTACACAATAAATCCTTTTTCTCCCTCTCTCCCCAAAAGGAAGAAAAAAAGGTTAAAAAGTTTATTTACCACATTAACCTAGAAGTTCTGGTTTATAAACACAACAAATAAAGAGCCAAGAAAGGAGCAATCCTGTTAAACTAAGGTACTTAGGTAAGTTCCAACACTCTGGCAAAGCTTGTTCACTATACCCACACAACACAGGAACTCCTCTTTTTTCTTTTCTTTCTTTTTGTTTAGACTAGGTCTTAAGTCCGGACTGGCCTGGAACTCACATCAGTCTGCCTCAGATTCCAGAGTGCTAAGGGTAAAAAATGCTTGTGCCACTCACTGCACTGGTCCTGGCAAATTCTTAAAAAAGAAAAAAACCTCTATCGGGGTCCAAAGTGGTGCACGCCTGTAATCCTAATAATACTCTAAGAGGCTGCCGCTGAACGGTAATGAATTCAAAGTCCGTCTCGATTACATACAAGACCTAGCTCAGCACAATTTTCTTTCCCAATCATCACCAAAAAAAAAAAAAAAAAAAAAAATCATCACAATGAGTCACTTACTTTAGAGGAAAATCATAAATCTCTTCAAAGTTTAAGAAATTGACTATTTCCGTACGTGTTCATGAACCCTGTCTCTTTCTCTCTGTGGGTCAATGGGTCTGCATGGTACACGGGGCTCAGGCTTCCATCTCGTGTCCAAACCGCGCCGCAGGGCCCAGCAGAACGAATACTGCATCATGTGTTACCTTTTCGGCGATGCTGTACAGAACCTCGTCCATCTTCATGCAAGTGGGGTCCCAGTCGTGTCCGAAACGAATGACGACCACGCGGTCCTCCTCCGACAGGATGGCCTGGTCTACCTGCCAGCCATTGTGCAGATGCGGGAGCATGTACGACATCTTGAGCGGGCCTGCGCGGCCGGAAGCCGCGAGCTGCCTGCGGGTGCAGAGAGCTGTGAGACCGCGACCCCACCCGGGTCCCAGACTCTCCGCCGAGCCCCCCCACCTCCCGCGAACCCCGCAGGCCACCGTCACCCGCAAACCTCCAGTCGGGGCTCGGGGCCTACACCGGGCCTCGGCTCGCATCGGGACCGCACCCCTGCACCTCCGTCTCCACGGGGACCATACCCCGGCGGCCCCAGCCCCACGGGGCCACACCCGACAACCTCTAACCTCGTGAGAGCCCACGCGGCCCGACCGCCGGCGACTCCTCGCAGCACCAGCGCCCTCCCGCGCCCCGGAACCTCCGGGCGTACGCACTGACGTTGTCTATCGCTGCTGCGCAGGCGCACGCTTGTCCCGCGCGCATGCGCGATGAGGACGCGGGCGAGCCGCAGGCGTGGTTACCGCCACTCGGACGCTTGTCCCGCGCGCATGCGTGGTGAGGATGCGAGCGCGCACGCCTCGGGCTAGGTTACCGCCACCTTAGCTGCCCTTGGGTGTGCGCGGAGGGCTGCGCGCTGCACTCAGCGGACCGTGAGGGCATGGTTCCCGCTTTCTTGGCGGCCGGTGCCTCTGCGGAGGGATGCCCGTGTCTGATCTATCTAGTATTGTGGGGTGGTGGTTTGCCTCTACTTTTTTTTTTTAGTTTTTGTTGTGCTGAGAAATATGCGAAGTCTTTGGCCAAACTTCAGCCATGCTCCTGATCTTTTCCGTAGGCTTATCTGTGCGCTCTTGTGTAAAATCTACTCTTCCAGCGCCATCAGACGCTCCTGAATATGACCAAGTTTTTGGCCCTCTACCTTACCGCAGAGGTCAGATCTTGAGTTCAGCCATTGTCCTCCTAATTTTCTCTTTCACAGATCCCTCTTCCCTCATAATGGTCCATAGTTGGTAGTAGAACTAACTCGTTTTCCTCCCTACAAGATCCTGGCGCAGTCTTCCCGAACCATCTTAAGCTTTTACAAGTAGGACTGATTGCCCCTTTCGTTACCATATCTATGTCTATATGCGTATACTTGTGTATATTTATGTGTGTATAAGTTAGTCACTTGAACCATGTACTGGCATTAAGTACAAGGACATTTGTACTGTACAACCATGACCGTTACCTCCTGATAAAATTTAGAAACTAAAAAGCAGGGGCTGGAGATATGACTCTGAAGTGAAAGCATTTTTTACTCTTCCAGAAGACCCAGATTCGGTTTCCACACCTAAATATCACCTGGCAGCTGTTCATAACTCCCGTTCCAGGGAATCCGGCATCCTCTTAGAGTGTTCTCAGGCACAAGACACAGTGTGCTTACACAGCTGTAGGCAAAACCTTCATACACATAAAATAAAAAATATTTTTTCTTTTCTTTTTTTTTTTTTTTTTTTTTTTTTTTCGAGACAGGGTTTCT